TCCCCCCTGCCCTCCAACAATGAAAAATCCCTACCGACTACCTACCCTCCCTCCCTCCCCAGAACCCAAGGAATTTTTGACATTATATTATACATAGATTATAAATATAATATATATATTTTTATACGTTTTTTATAACTATAATATATGTATTCTAAAATTTTATATTATACATATATTATAAATATATTGTACATATAGTATACATATAATATGCATATAATATAGAATGGCCTTTTCAACCCTCAGCTCAAAATATATTATATATATTTTATACTTATAAAAGATATATATTAAACATATATTATAGAATGCTCTATATTATATGTATATTATATGTATAAATTTTCAGATGTGCTACTAGGGTAAAATTATACTCGTTCATCCCAGTTGGAGACAGGTTTCGCTCGCATCGATCCCTGCCCGTCTCCACCGGGTCCACAGTCCTCTCATTCTCTTATCTTCTCTGTTCGCAATGAAAAAAAGTACGGCTACGTCAAAAAACGAAGAGGGGGAAGGGGTGGGAAGAAGTGCCGTCGTAAATATTAACAACAAGATTAAGGAAAAAAAAACTCGTTTACCGTAGCAATGATGGACGAACCAGCGGAAGAGAGTGGAGTGTAGTTAGACTTATTTTTCATGAGAATTATATTCATAGTGAAAATAAACGTAGGTAGCCAAATCTTTGAAAAGGGACCTTATTCTCTGATAGAATATATCTTCCTTGGAAGGCCCCATTAATGAGCCCCCCTTAAAAAACCAGTACCTTGCCACAATGAGAAATGGTCCTCGCCAGAACCCTATATCTCTTTTTGTTCAAAAGTTAAAGACACTTTTCAGTTACTTTTGGCCCACCCTGTTTAAGGCATGATACATTACATGACACTAAAGGAACATTTAAAAGTACCGAAATCCCATACGGCCTTATTTTGGCCGCCATTTTGAATTTTAGGCGTTTTGGGGGGTGTTTCGGGGTCGGACAGTGGTAAACTTTTATATGTTGTTCAGGAGGACCTACTGATGACGTTTACATAGGAAAAATTTGTTATGTAATTTGTTCCTGGTTAAGCCTTTTTTTTTCTTCTGTCTCCCCGATTATAAGGAGCACACCCCTTCTTTGCCACTGTCTCTGGTTCTGCCTGGGAGAAATAGGAGGAAATGATACCCTGTGCAAAAGAGTACAATTTTTGTGGAGTAAGATGTTGTGTAAGATGGTGGTAATCTGCCGTGATATCGGAAAGAACGGTAAGTGCAAAAAATAAGTTTCGAGATAATCGGCTCGGAAGCGTATGACCGACAATTTTATTAAAAGAAGCCTCTGTTCTTTATCAATTTGCCACTAGTCATCAGGAATACTCCTAGAAATCGTTTGGATGATTCAATTTCGACCGATTCCATTTCATTACAAAAAGGGTAATTTTCATTCTCATGTTGGGCTAGTGTTAGGCAAGACAGCCGTAAGTGCTATATTATGCTGCATGCTTTCGTTTTGGAACGTAACAAACACATTTTAAGGTTTGAAACTGGCAGAAAAGGGTGGCACTGTACTTGAAAACACTGTTTTCATTGGCTTTCGGGTGGATTTAATGTCACTTACTGCTTGCCTGAAACTACGTAATGTTTTGCTCATTAGGCTTTCTCATATGTATCGCTTTTATACAATTAAGATGAATTATATTTTTTTTTTTCAGTGATTTCATCTAAAAGGTAATTGACGAAGTTTGAAGGAAACTCGATTTCGAAAATTTGACATTTGCCGCTCTCTCCGCTATCACGGCAGCATAGCCCCTATAAGTCTCATTTCGTTGTCTCATCGGGCTGATCAAACTTTCAATTATCGGCTTGCAGGTCTCTAACAAAGCATAACAAAAGGGACAATTTGACGCTACGTAAAAGTCAACTAAATTTTTTGGTAATTCTTGCTAATTCTGATGAGAAAATACGGTGATTTGCCACATCAAAAAGAAAAAGAAACAACAAATTGAGGTGCAAAAAACGAAGGAAGATGGTCAGTATTGTAGATTTTAAGGATGGCTCGTACGCACTTGGACGTATTTCTATCAAAGAGATTTATGGGCAGGTGAGAAATATGGGGTGTGCTCAAGAAAGTTGCATGAGAAACAATGTTAAAGTGGGTGTGATTTCTGAAGAATTGGAAAAGCGGGATTTTAAATTCAGCAAACAGAACTACGTGCCAAATGAATGCGGGATTCATGAGCCTCGGGCATGGCACGAGAGCGTTGTGGACAGGGCTCATGAGTTAAAACGCCCCGACGACGATCTCCCCCTCGCGCCCGGGCTCGATCATTGCCGGTGACGTCACTGGCGCTTCATTATTCTCATTCACTCTTACGGCTAGAGAACTAAGAAGCCCATCCCATATTTCTCACCTGCACATAAATCTTTTTGATAGAAATACGTCCACTTTATGTCATAAGATGTGGCGAGTTTGGTGAGTTGCGTTTCGGGAGTATCGTGGGATACTGATTGGGTGTGTGTGGTTTCAGGAGGTCTCGATCTTCGTGTTCGAGAAGCGGCTGGCGGAGAAGCTGCACAAGCCGAAGCGGAAGGAGACGGTGGCCGAGATCCTGCGGGGCGGCGTGCGGCAGTTGGAGCGGTTCCGGCACCCGCGGATCCTCCAGGTCGTCCACGCCATCGAGGAGTGCAGCGAGACGATCGCCTTCGCCACGGAGCCGGTCATGGCCAGCCTGGCCAACATCCTCGCCTACCACGAGCACCAGGGCACCGGCGCCGGCCCTCCCGAGACCGGCGCCAGCGCCCACGCCCAGCCCCAGCACCCCATCCCCAGGCCGCCGCACGCCTGCGACTATAGTTTTTTAGGCATAGAGCTCAAATACGGCTTCCTTCAAGTAAGTCCCCCGCCATATCCGTTACTACTCCAACACCTTACGCTACAATACAGCAGGGTGTCTACTGCTCGGCAATTTCCAGAGGCTAATACTACTCACTTTCTAAGGGCGGGCCAGCAGCGCTGAAATAGTTTCTTTTGTAGCCGCGTACATGTAGTATATCGCCTTTGCCATCATTTTGACCCCCTATTCGATACAATCTATCCAGTGCCTGAGTTGCTTACTGGAAAGTGACTGGCGGGCTCGTTCTGAATCTTTGAGAGCCTGTGAAGAAGTTACTAAATGCTTCAATCTTTTATGTTGATTGATTTTCGTCATCGTCTGTATTTTTTTTACCGTAAATCCTAGAGATGAACGGGCTCCGTTCTTTGGTTCTTTTTTTGATACTTATAAATCCTTGCTCTGCTAACTTAAAATATGATAGCAGCTCAGTCATCCCCGAATGTGAATTTCACTTCTCCGGGGTGTTTAAAACACAACCTCCCGACATCTATGGGCTATAACTTTCAATAATCGGCTCGCAGGCTTCAAACAAAGCAAGCATCATAAGAAGGACGATTTTTACGGTCGCCACGAAAAGTCAACGATATCATTTTGGAGATAATCCTGCTCAGTAAGTACGGTGATTTGCCACATCAAAAAGAAAAAGAAAAATGATTGAAGTGCAAAGAATAAATCAACATTGTGAGTTTTGCAAGTTTTGAGGAGGACTTATACACAAGTAATATAGTAAAATGTTTCACTTTCGTGAGTGTCATTTTTTGGCGGTGGCAAATCATCGTTTTCCCCCGGGGGATCAATCTCAGAGCTACCGTTTCCATTGGTTAAGAAAGAAAACGCCTGCCTCTACCAACTGAGCGCTTAAGAACTTGCATCTCTGCGATTAATGATGATTGCAGACCTGCAATTAATCATCTGAGTCAGGTTTTCCAAACCGTTCTACCTTAGAACTTTTCGAAACGAAAAATCAGTCCGCATCCCTTAAATCGTGAAACACGGTGGAAGAAGTTTATACGTGACACGACTCAAAAAGCCCTCGTTTGTTTGGTTAGAGGGACGTTCAATTGATACAACTAAATACGTGGACCGTCACATAAAAAGGGGATCTGAAAGGAAATGAAATTATATCACCTACGGATTGGATTAAAAAAAAATTGTGGCGTGTTAATTGGGTTTGCACGAAGCCCCCAATTTCAATTGGCTTACTAGATTAATAGTGTCAATTATTCACATGCATTTGAGAATGATATCAATGAATAAAGTCAAAAAGTGCGTATTTCTATCGCAGCGTTTCCAAAATCTCCGATAGTGTTGCATTATTTCAGGAGGAAAGCAACAAAACCCACCTCAAATCTTCTGTATTTGTTTTCTAGAATGAGTGAAAAAAATGTTGAAAAAATTTCAAGGAAACCTGTCGACTAGGTTTCGTTAACTTTGCAATCTGAGATACCAATTTTTCGATTTGAGCCATGCATTGACATTGAAAAAACAACCTCGTAAAATAGTAGCTGGTGTGCGGCTACTTTGAAAAATACAAAAAATATGAATTTGGGTTATCTGAGAATGGTTCTAATGACCACTTAGAACGACGCAGTGTTACATTTTCCTCTATTGCGCATCTTAGAAATTTTAAAGGCCAGATGTTTCTCCTCGGACTGTTTACTCTCGTTTCCTTTGTTCCCTTCTAAACTTTTTTTCTTTTCTTATAGCTAACGGAAGCGTTGTCGTTTTTACACTGCATTGGACACACGTTACATCACAACGTTTGTCCGGGGAGTATATTCGTCAATAAAAAAGGAATCTGGAAGCTTGGCGGCCTTGAATTTACAGGTAAGATTCCTGCTCAAAATGTCCATCGCATGTTGTCATGCCAGGCTATTGGTTTCTTGGCTCATGTCTCAGGCACCATTGTGACGATCCCACCCTCTTTTTTTAAGAACATAAAGCTGTGAACGTTTTTTTCTATCAAAATTAAGATTCTAAGCAAGATGGAAGATAATCTAAAATGTGAGTGAAGCTTTGTGAGTAGGTATAAGGAAAAGAGGATGCAGCTTGTCGGGCCCCGCGCTATCAGACGCGCAATCAGACGCGCAATCAGACGCGCAATCAGATCCGCTTTTCAGACGATGCGTCTCCTCTCCGTGCCGTGTGGGCCGGGAGTTCAGTTGATGTGCAATTGTATTATGTAGCTCTTAGCTTAGAATAAACATTATTGCAAAGTTCTGGCTTTTCGGATCCTTCTTTTTCTCGTCAGCCTCGAGCGTAACAAGCTTGCTGAACGTAGAAACGTAGGAGAGGGGGTAAGAGGGGGTGGGGGTGTCTAAGTTCCAAGCCATGTTACTTGACGATACTCAGCCTTGACGATACTTTTATACGATTTTCTCCTTTGGCTTGGGACGAATAGTTGATATTGAAATATCTGTTCTGTCTCTTTGATTTTCTATCGGGAATGGAAAATTTACAAGTGGCTGAAAATTTTTTGGAAACTGAGAATGTTTTTTGTGTGAAAAATAATTTTTTTTTACTTCCTTAAGACACTGCCTCAATTATGAAGTTGTATCGCACAAAACAAACAAGTTCAGTGTGCAATGTTGGTTCTCTTATTCTACCCTGAAATTAGCTAATTTTTTTTTAGACATTTGCGAAATTGATGTAAATACAACTGTTTTGGAACTGTTCCTGTTTTTAAAAGTAGTCTTGAGTATACATATAAAAAGTAGGATTGTAACCAGCCGAGAGACGGAATTTTTCTATGTATATCTTACCCTTTAGAATCCAATTATGAAGAGTAACGCATAACGCCTCAGAGGAAAAGCGCTTTGGGGGTTAGACTACAGAGCGGTCAGGGGGCGTAGCCGCCTAGTACGTTGTTTAGGAGCAGTTTCGTCATACCGTGGTTGTTACTCGTAAGTGCATTTTGCCTAGCCCATCGATTGAAACAAATCCATCTTTTCAGACGATCAAGAGGTTTTTTATATCCGCAGTTTGGAACTGAAGACACGCTAAACTGCCTCCCCTGCTTCATCAAAATGTTTGTCAAGTTTCATTGAGCTTTAACTAAACGAAAAAGAGTAGGTATCACGTAATCAATGATTTGACAAGAAAAGTGGTTCCCGAGTGGTTTCCTGAGGCATGCCGATGTACACTAGCGCATTACTAAGAACGTAAAGGAATTACTCATACTATAAGCTGCATGATCCTCTAAATTTTCAAATTTTTGCACAATTCGTTTTACCGTATTGCGACGACTATGGGCAGATGATAGATAGTTCCTGAATGAGCCAACTGTATTCAGATTTTTGAATCTTGGGCTCATTTCCATAGGTTTTGCGCTTTTCGGTAGGAGACAGTTCTTAGACGAGCCCGCTCTATTTAAATCACCTCATGAAGGCAGCGAAGCTCTCTTTAGGCGTCTGGCCGTGTAGCAGCCAGGAAGCGCCATCCCCCAGTAATGAACAGTGTAAGTGAAGAAGGGGGGGGGGGTGAGGCGCTCACTGGAGGTTGGACCGCGTAGCGGCTAGGGAGTGTATATTATGCATCGTCTCATAGAGTGGACATTGACAAAGGAGTGAAAGTACCGGACTTAAATGGATTTAAACTCGGGAAAGGCTCTAATTTTGGAGGATGGAGTATATTCGTTATCTGATAGTGCGGGAGGAAGCCACTAAGCTCGCACGCGACAAGGTGATTAAAAGCGGTTGGGGCCGGGGTCGGAGCAAGTTGCCGTAAGAGGGAGGCGGGGCGCCGTCTATAAATATTGAATGGGACCGCCCACATTCGCGACGAAGCTCGAAGCTCGGCTACCGGCGACAGGAACAAATAAGAAGTTATGGCTTAATTGAAGTGAAGCGCGTTTTTCACCGCTAATCCAGTACTCCGATCCACGACCGATCGGCCAATCACGGCTCCAATCAAATTAACCGTTCTAATTACTTCCGCCCGGATTGCCAGTCTACCTCCTTGACCATTTTCCCCAGAATTTCCTATTTATGACGTTTGAACACCCATTCATTCTGGAAGATGAAGATGAAAAAAATTCCAGCAAAATCTGGAATTCGACGTATGAAAAACAGACCACAACTTTCCTTAAAGCAACTCATGGTTTAATTTCAAGCACTTTATATAGAAAGACTTTTTACCATAAACCACACCAATTCCAAAAAAATCGATGATATAAATCGTCCATAATGACCTACGTCATCAAGAGAAACCAATGTGCCCGAAATCCAAACACCTCTTTTTTTTTTCTATGTCAGATATGAATGTGTTCGTGCTGAAAGGAACCATGCGCCTCCTATTTATTGCGCTCAATACAGTTTATTTCAGTATGAATGCGCCAGAAAGTGCAAAATCACAGTTACAGAATCATGTTTTGATAGTTTAAGCCTATAGATTCGTTAAAAATCCCTTAAAATTCTGCGACTGCATCGTTTAAAGTTATGATCGTTCAACCGGAGTTACATTCTGTGATTATAAAAATGGTTTGTTTTCACGGTTTTTTGCATTTCCCAAAATTGAACGCATCGCTTATTGCGTACAATTTTGAAGAAGAGACGAATGAGTACTTACATTTGACACATACAAACTTACATGCACATGAGTATTTACGCAAGGTCATTTACATTGCATTTTTACACATTGATGTATTTTCGACCACATCTATGATATAAAAACTGACTCCGACCTAGATCTGTAGATTTGAATATTACATTGTGAAAGGAAATGGTTTCCAAGTCGAGTGGTTTTGAATGTCAGGAAGATTGAGATACGGAAGTATTTCCCCTTCTCAAGTGTTTATGTCTACACATGTTAAAAAGATATGCGAGAAATGTTGGGGCCCAACGTTTAATTATTGACATAATTTGGTCACACGTATGCTCAGAAGCACCATTACTGCCCAAAGCGATGCAAGCAATTGGACAAGGTAGAATGATTTGTCAGAAAACTGTCAAACATATAAAGAGTCTCATTTCATTGCTCCGTGGGCGTATCTTACCACATGAGCTCGGAACGCATGGAGTTAAGTGTATAACAGGGTTCACTCGATAATTGAGGTAAGCTCTTACGTCAAAAGAGTTCATAGACAAATACAAATCTTACCGCGATGTGGCAAACTCTTGAACAAGTCTGTTGGTGACACCTCAAGTGCACTGCAAAAATTCTGACTTATCTTCGTTTTTGATACCAGTTTCGAACGGTTATTCGCGTTTTCCTTTTCTTCCGCAGAGATAGATAATGTTTTCCGATCGTCAACGGAGATCAGTAAAGTAGGTGCGTAACTTTCAATTAAGACCCACGTGCATTTAATGAATCGAAAAAATTGGTAAACTGTAAATCGTTCAAACCTACCGATATCCATGATGCAGGTTAACATTGTAACATCTCTCAAGGTACCTTTTTTGAAAATCCACATCGATAAATAAAATAGGCATGGTGAAAGTGATCGTTTCGATTGTGGTTGAGTGACGCCTCTTAAAAACAGTTGTAATTGAAGATAAATTATACTTGAACACCTAGGACTTTCTGAGTAACATCTAACGTAGTAAAATTTACTGGAATCTATCATATGTAGATGCTAATTTTAGCTTTGCCTCTCGAAGTGACTCAATTAGTCACGTGGGCAAAGGGAATTATACCGTGATACCATCAGTGAAATGCGATTTTCACAGTTCATCTCAACAACTCATACCTATCAGCCGTCAAGGTGCTCCGCCAGGAACAGAGTCCATTTCACGTTTTAGTACTCTGAGTAGAATTTATTGTCCTTCCTTTTAGTATCTATTGATCACACATGCCTGAGAACGATTACCTCATCAGCTTAACTCGCTTGGAAGATCACTTGATTAATCGGTTAAAAATAAAAAAACAATATACTTCCTACTTTATAGACGGACGAGATACATTAACTATTCACCACTATCGAGCGCGATCAAACATCCGAGAGCGTTTTTTTATTGAATGAAGTCCATCGGGCGCAGCTTTTTAACTTCCACGAAAAACCCTGCTGTGCATCTCAACACTCCTGAAAGCTGAGAGACGGCTTGAAAGAACCACAGGCTGACAAATATCTTACACCAGTTCATTTGCGGAGATATCTTACGACCTGTAGAACCCAAACACAAAGCACCAAAACGCCTACGGAATCCAAAAAGCCTACCCGAACAAAAAAATTCACTGGGATTAAAGTATCCAAAAAACTCAAAAGGCCCCCTAATGTTTAATACCCAACAGGAACTCTCTGGCAAAGACTCCTCGCGTCTCGAAGAACCTAAAAAGTATACATGACTTACGGAGACTATCAAACCTAAGGGGTGCAATGAAGAAAAAAAGCTCACTAAACCCGAAGGACCGAGATTTATAAGGTTCACAGATCATGACGGGCTCACAATTGAGAAAAGAATTCTATTAGAAATCATCAAATTGAATTTTCCTTCTTCTGCGAAACCCAAAGAGCTTCCAAAATTAAAAGGGTCTGCGGAATTGAGAGAGCCCCCAGAATCCAAAAGTTATGCAAAATCAAAAAAGCTCACAAACTCAAAGGATCCACAGAACCAAAAGCGACCAAAATAACTGAGAAAGCCTCCAGGACGCACAAAATCCAAAGGATCAGCCAAGTGGGCCCGGGAGACCCACGGAACTGGACGTTATTGGCACAAGAGTGAGTTGTTATGAAACTTATGCTCGCTAAATCAGGAATGCGGTTGATCTACCTGAGTCTTAGCTTGGCGAGCGTGTTGCCGGCCGCGACGAAAAGTCACTCGATGGAGATGACCTTCATCTCGAAGATCGCCAAAGAGACGACAAAACGCTCCGGGGAGTCCTTCTTCCACGTCTTCAACTTCCACCGGAACTTCTCGATGACCCAGCTCATCCGGGACCTGCACAGGAACCTCATCCCAACCGTCCTTATCGAGCACTCGACAGACGTCCGGGAGTTTGCCACCCGCCGCCGCGTTAAGAACATCCTCTTCCTCCTCAACGACTGCCACGACATTATCAACGTCGTCATCGACTCCCTCGCCCAAGAGCGAGCCAAGAGAGCTCCGCTACAGCTCATTGCCGGAGACGCCGAGGGCGAGGGTTCCACGGATCATGGAGGGCCCGTGGAACCCGGCAGACCCATGGAACCCAATGGGAATGATAGGACCCAGAGACCCAAGTTTCCAAAGCTTCCGAAGCTTCCGAATTACTGCATCCGCTACGGTCGGAACTCGGTGGATCCGTTCGGGCGGGCATTCGGGGGCCCGGCGAGGGATGAGGCGGACTGCGAGGCGGAGATGTACATCGACGCCATGGACTTGGAGCCGGACTCGATGCTCCCGGACGAGGTGTTCAACCTGACCCGCGGCCTCTACGCGCACAACATCTGGAACGGGGAGAATTACCTCGTCTTTGCCTTCTTCCCCCACGAGGACCGCGACAGGACGGAAATGAGGAACCTCGAGGATGCCGTCGTCACCGACCAGGAGGAGGAGGACGCAGAGATCTGCGAGACTCCCGGCTGCGATTTGCTCTTTGTCTTCAAGTTCATCTGGCGCTTTTTCCATGGATACAGGTAATAGACCACTAGAGAAGTTACTAATTCAATTCTCATACTTGTTCCTCACCTAAAACTTCACGTCGAGCATAGCTCTCTCAACGAAAGTTAGTTAAAAAAACAACTCCAAATTGAGGTATTAACGTTTTTAGCCTACATTGGTTACGGGAATTTTGTATATCCCACTTACATAAAAAGTAATGGTCTGCGTAAATTAAATCGCGCTTTACAACGGTTTTCGCAGGTATTTTAATTAATCGATCCGTATTCCCGCCTTGTGTCCTTCAAAAAGTTAAAAACGTGTAAAATATAATTTAAAAACTCACTAGTCAGAGAAAATCCAAATCAATCCGACGCGCGTTTCGACCCGTTGGATCATCATCAGGGGCGCGACGCGCGACTGGTATGCTCTTCAGATATGCGGCGGTTGCTGGGCCTTTCTTTGTTGTCCTTGCTGCCAGATGTTCGAAACAACTTAAATAATGTGTTGGGTGGCGGAAATTCTACATTCATCGAGTGGTCTTTCTTTTGTTTTTGGGTAAAGATATTTTCCCAACATGTCAGTCTATTGATATTAATTTCATCCTTCAGTAATTGAAGTTCAAAATCAATGTCGTGTTTTTCATCCCAAAAATATACTGATATTGCTGATTTTTCTATTGATTGATTTTTGATGCGTCTGGCGTGTTCTTGAGCTCGATTTTTTATGGTTCTCGACGTTTTTCCTATGTAAACTTTATGGCGATTTTTACATCGTATTTTATAAACTCCTGCTTTTTGTAACCTGTCTGTCTCATTTTTTATTTTTTTGCCGAATTTTCGAACGTATTTTCAACTCATATAATATAAAATTGTGTTTCTATAATCCATACTGTTTCCGAAAACAATGCGGCGAAAGATAATAAATGAGACAGACAGGTTACAAAAAGCAGGAGTTTATAAAATACGATGTAAAAATTGCCATAAAGTTTACATAGGAAAAACGTCGTGATCCATAAAAATTCGAGCTCATGAACACGCCAGACACTCCAAAAATAAAGCAATAGAAAAATCAGCAATAGCAGCATATTTTTGGAGGGAAAAACACGACAATGATTTTGAACCTCAATTACTGAAGGAAGAAAATAATATCAATAGACTGACATGTTGGGAAAATATCTTTTTCCAAAAACGAAAGTACGTAGAAACGATGAATATAGAATTTCCGCCACCCAACACATTATATAAGTTGTTTCGAACATCTGGTAACAGGGACAACAAAGAAAGGCCCAGCAACCGCCGCATATCAGAAGATCATACCAGTCGCGCCCCTAATGATGATTCAACGGGTCGAAACGCGCGTCGGATTAATTTGAATTTTCTCTGACAATCGAGTTTTTATATTTTATTTTAACCCTTGACCTAGTCTGGTACTTTTAAAATATTTGATTAAAAACGTGTAACAGCTAAGCCGAAGCACTGGGATACTGCTCGGTGACGTTTAGGGCGCGATTTAATCCACGTGGATATTGATTTTTCATGGGCGAGAGGTTTAATTTATGCGTCAAAAAACTTTAAATATCTTTGCTAGGAGTTGAATTCACTTATTTCATTGCCCAAATTGTGTTTTACGTGAGAATTTGATACGAATATATGCATCAACAAGCTTGAATTTGTAACTTACCTGGTGGTCCATTCGTTCAGACATGCAGAAATTTTGTTTCTACCAGTGCAAGGAGAAAATGAAGCCCTCTACTGACCTATTGGTGACAGGCAGAAATTTTTACTTCCAGTAATTCAACATGTCCTTATGGACGATGGATCACTGAACAGGTTAAGAAATGAAGCATCTCAACCTTTCACGTAGAAAATGTTGATAATATGGGACGGTTTTAAAATTAATTATCAGGTGAAAAATAAACATAGCAAAGGCGGAAAAACGGAAGGCCTGCCCCGTAAAAAAATGTGAGACATTTTTCCAAGTATGTGCCTGACTGATATTCTACTTTGGAATTTAAAATTGACCAATTTTTAGGCGAGGACAGCTCAAAACTACTCCCGTAATGACCTGATTTTTCGAAATATTTCAATGGAAGCCCCACGGACCCCTCCCCCTTCTTTAGGAGCTGAACAAATTCACAATGCAAGAGCGTAAAAAAAAGCTACAGTCCATGCTTTTGTCCATGAGATAAAACTTATTTTTAGTCCCATCTCTCTGGTGTCACGAGAGCTGAGGAATTAAACAAGGAAAATTTGAATAATCGAGGAAAATTTTCCTCCAAAAATTTCAGATGAATTAAACTCTTATCAAAGATTCTTATGAAATGAGTAAAGCTCGTTCTTCGTGCTACATTTTCCTTTCTTTTTAGATTTAATGAACCTGTTGGCGCAAAGTTTCTTGAAAATTACGTTGACATTTTTTTCTTCCTTTCACCTATTCATTTGTTCTCCTTGTATGAAGAGAACTTGAATTCTCGGGGGTCAAAGAGATAGTTAGACTAATATTTCATTTCATTTTTCCTCTTCAAAATTTTACGAAGGAATTGGTTCACTAACAGCGAGTTTGGATATCAGCTCCAATGGAAGATGTAAGTACCTTTATTGAGCATGTTTAAGAGGCACAAATTAAAATTACTTTATTTGTATGATTTTCGCTCTTTTTAATTAGTAATATTTTAATTTTTCTGGTGAACGTTGATTTCCAAACTTTCTTGTGCGTGAGTCTTTCTCTGCGTAAAATGATATAGGAGTCACATAACATAATGATGTGATTCTTATCGCTTACAGTGACTCGTTCTGAAAAAAAAACCATGCAAATGAAGCCTTTTTTCTCAAATCTGTAAATAGTTGATCGAAAATCAGGATTTTTTTTATTTTCTAATTTTGAGTGGTTATAATACGTTTACCCTAAAGTCTGTATCCACTCTAGAAATAAAATAAGTAGTAAAAAGTAATTAACATAAAGAGACAATGGAACATAAGCGACCTGACACTTCAACCTTCTTCATAGCGTAATATTTACATTCGGAGCTGATTCGCCTCATAATTATCGATCTGTGGCGATCCTTGAAAGTTGGCAGTACCGTCTTTCCCCCATTGAAATGTATGTTAAACAATTAATTCTTGGTGAGGCAGCTTGCCTCGCCTAAAATCGATAGTTGCAATGGATGTAAGTGGGAGGAAACAGTGTTGCCAACTTGCTATATCGCCACTATCACCGATGACCAAAGGACTGAGAAACTGGTCTAGCAATTCTTAACACAATTGCAAAAATTTGCCCAGCAAAAAGGTTACCCCAAAATTCATCAGTCATTATTAGGCGAAGTCATTATTAGGATTTAACTTGTGCGCCACCCTATTACTTCCCTTGAATCTGTATGAAGGGGGTCTCTAAAAAATAATGTCTCTCAATATGAACGCCTATCTTTATGAATGTCCCTTCATAGGGATTGTTAAGACAAGTCGGCTCATGGATATCACGAGCGGTGAAAAATATTACACGGTTTTAATTTATTTTCCAAGCTTTGATCGACTCATTCCCAGTCCCCCTCCTCTGTTTCCTCTCTCATTCTGTTGTATCCTAACGTGACTTCTAATTCTCCGGTCCACTCCAGCTTAATATCATTGCAACCGGTAACAATGTAATATTTTCTACCGTCTGTGACACTGTGGAGGCCTAAAATACGAGAGTCAATCAGAGATGGGTCTCTCAAATCTTAACTCACAATGCAAAGGGACTCCAATGGAGTGTTCATAAACTACGAAACGAACTTTTTCGTCAATTTTGACCACCCTCATTTATTTTAACGCTTTTGTTCCGTAGGACCCTAGCCCCCTATTGAGTATTACATAATTCACGAAGGGCTCTTAATGAGAATTATCATTACAGAACGGTGATATGCTTCAAGCAACAGTGCTACCGCTACGACCCATTCTACGAGCGGATCTGGGAGTACGTGGAAGCCAAGGCGGAGTACTTTGACTTCTCTTGGAGCGTGATGAACAAGAAACCCCTCTCTTTTCTCTACCTGGAGAACGAAACGGAAGAACCGGGCTTTGCACGCAAGTTCTGGAATGACATCATGCTCCAGGCCGTTTTCATTATGACGAAGAAACTCGACTTTTCGCTCGCGTACTACGGGCCCCCGCTGGAGGACTCAGAGAACGAGACCAGGGCCCCGCGCGACCTCCAGAGCGCCCTCCAATCAGGCATCGACTTCCACGTCCTCCAGGGCGTCCTCCACGACACCGACCTCGCAACCCTGGACTTCTCCCACCCCGTCGACACCGGGATGCTCTGCTTCATCACCCCTCGCCCCGGCGCCATCCCCGATTCCCTTGTCGCATTCAAAAGCTTCACCCTCTGCGTGTGGCTCCTCGTCCTCACTACCTACCTCTCTTTCCTACTCCTCCGCTATGGTTACCATCGCCTCTTCAACGACCCCATGGCCTACACTCCCGACAACCGCTTCATCTCCTGGAAACTCCTCTTCCTGACCTTCGCTTTCTCGACATTTATCCTCATCACTGCCTTCCAAACCGAGATGGCCACCCTCTTTACTCGCAGAGTGCGCTACGCCGACCCCGAGAAGATCGCCGACCTCCAGCACTCCGAACACTTGATCCACGCTGCCAACGTGAACCTCCACCTGGACTCGGAGGACTTCGGCTACTCTTGGATCCGCGATTGGCTCACCGACTTCTTCTCATTCTCCCCCGATGGCGTCAGCCATGTCATCGAGCATCTTTACCACCTGAGCAATCCCATCTTTTGGCGAAATGTCACTCGTGGGAAGTCATCACTCCCGGCCCCTGAACCCGAGGCTCTGGTGTTCCACGTCCCGTATCATTTCCAACGCTACAAGAACTTCATCCTCTTCGAAAAGGAGAGTGGCTCCGACTCGCATTTAGTCCAAGAGTGTGTCGTGACGAATCCGTACTCCTACCCGGTGGTTAAGTACTCCTTCTTCACGGACAAAGTTAACGAGCTTTTGGTACGGCTCAACGAGGCTGGAATTATGCAGCACATGATCCGGCAGAAATTCGTACCCGAAAGGAGAGCACTCACCTCTGCCGCTGAGGACAATCCGGATGAAATTCTCAAGGTTTTCAGCTCCGCCGACCTTCAAATCGCATTTATTTGTCTTCTCGTCGGCCTTGTTTTCAGCGCTGGCGCGCTCATGTTTGAAACGGTGCGCAGATTTCGATAAACCTTCACTGGAGTATTTTTTCAGGAATGATAACTGCAAAAAAAGTGATTATGCATTTTTTAATGGATTTTTACACTTCTTTTAATGTCTTATGTTTTTCAATCAAAGTGAGCCAAAATTTGCCCGAATCCACATCAAATAATGTGGATTCTTGACAAAAAATTCAATGTAATCAGACCATATTTTTGCCCTCAAAAAATTCGTGAAATTTTCTAAATCTCAATTTTTTAAAGGAGAAGTTCGATTGACATTCGAATGAATTAAAAAAACCAGGCCAGATACATGGTTCCTATTTGCACTTCAAACTATAATTATATGTCCAAGTGTCACCAAAAGAATTCAAAGTTGACCGGTTCGGTGGCCAACGAGATAAGACGGGTTTTCTAACTTCAAAATGTTCAGAAATCAGGTCCTAAAACGACTTTGTTTGTACCGTTTTGTGGATCGAAAATCTGCGGTATCTCGTTGATCTCTAAACCGATTCTTGGAATTTTTTCTGGTAACCCTTCAATACATAATTATAATTTTAAGTGCAAACTGAAGAATGTATCCAGCCAGGTTTTTCTAATCCGTTCGAATTTCAGTCGAATTAAAAAAAAGGAGATTAGTAATAATTTACGAATTTCTTTGCAGGCAACAATATGGTCTCATCACCTTGCATTTTCTTATTAAGAAATTACAAAATATAATGTAAATTCAGTCAAACTCCGGCCCACTTCGGTTTCAAAACATGGGAGGTATAAAGAGGCGTGAAATTCTCCAAAAAGAAGCCCAACAAAGGTGTTTGGGAGGCTAATGGTAGGGAGGAGGGGCGGGGCAAGGAGCTGAAATTGGCCGAGACCTTGGTTTAGAACCCCTTCAATGATCTGGGGTGATTAAAATGAAAATCCGTAAGAATGAGGAATTTTAGCATGCTTACACCTAGGGATATCCTTTGTAACTGGCAAACCGGATGGACTCCTTTGTCGAAGTTTCGAAAATTAATTTTCCGACCCTTCTTAACAAATATAGCTTTACCGAAGGTCTTGTCACTGTAGACGTAATGTCATCTTCCTTGAATGTCGTTACATATGCCAATCTGATTATAAATTCCCAAAATCTTTAGGACTGTGTCAAAACACTGCTGGCGATTACTGAAGTGCCGTGGATTTTAATTAAGAGGACACTGAATCCTATCATGCAGCTTTAATTGCCCACATCCGAAGAGGCTCTCTGAGTTGACAGTTAGGTAGCCTTATACTTAATTACATACTAGAAAAGTACAGTTCTCAACCCTTTAAATCGTTGTAAAGAATACGCTGATTAACCTGCTAATGTATAATGACCGTTCTCAATGTTTTCTTTGCACGTAGACACTTTTGTTCCATTTAAACACCATCAACATACTATAAAAAGCTGTAATTTCACTTTAGTCACTTGTTTTTGTCAACTTAAGAGATATTCCTCGTTATAGAATAAGTTTTCAGTCCTTAATGTCTTCATTTTCAACAATTATTTCTCTTTAAAGAGGCCATCAAAGCCCATGTGTGATATGTCATTTAGAAAAGAGTTATAATGTTTAAAATACGAAAACGAACGAAAGGCAATAACAAAGTTAATAACTTTCGAAGTATCAAATTCACCGTTTAGGGCGCGCAAAACGCACTCTTGTTAGGTTGGTTGATGTTCTGATGAATGTTATTTTAGTTTTAAAATTAAGGAAATCTTTTAGGATTTATATGGATCATATATTCACTCGTAATGAAAAAAAAAGAAAACCCTCAACGAATGACTGAGAATCTGTGACAATCACAAAAAAGGAAAAAATTCAAAGCTTAGGGGATATTCTAAATTTTGCTATTGAATTATTAGAATACAAGGTAAATTTAAATGCATGTACAGTTTTCAAAGATAATGAGATCGAGAGAATAAGAAAAAAACCAGACATTTACCATTTCCACCCGCAAATGACCATTTGAATTTGAAAGAATTAAATGGATAATTAATCTGAAGTTGTCTTATTAGTTGGAAAACATGGAAATGAATGCCATAGTGTCAGGTTTTGCAATGCGGACTTGCCAAGCCGGAGGGATCAATTTTTGGCTAGAAATAATTTTAAGGAAAAGAACTCGATTTGTGTTAAAAAAAACCTTCCTCTGTGAAATGCCTCTATTAACCAATTCGTATCTTTGTGAAATACTTGTACTTCGGATGTCTGTAATACACCAATCCCTTATCAAATTCACAAACAATAACTTTCCTTTACATCTTATTATTCTCTTGATTATATAAAATTTAACTTGACTAAAATCTTTGTTAATAATAAACGTAAAAAGTACCTAGGTGTTCGGAAGGATCTTACTTTCTCCTCTTCTGCAAACTTCAGCAATTAAAGTGACTTTCTATATGCACCAACTATGTGTGTTAAGTGCGTTTCTATGTGACCAGCTCTACTGACCAAGAGAAATGATTGAATAGGCTCATTTTGAATGAGGTCTCTTCAGCATCGATCCTTGAAAAATGGCATTAACACTGTTTTTCCTCCATTTAAATATAATTAAAACAATCGATTCTTGGTGAGACATCTTGTCTCGCCCAAAAGCGATATTTTGAATGAATTTAAATTTGTAATTTAATGCCAATTTGAAAAATCGTCCCTGGGTCTTTTTTTGACAACTCTGATGTGATCTCTCTTTTCGCTGGGGCACAAGTCATAATTGGGAACTGGGCAATTGAGGAAGAATGAAACAATCACATTTCGGGTGGGCGAGAAGGAGGAGATCCTGGCAACCGGCTGCTGGGCGGCACGTGTCCTAATCGCGGAGGTGGGCGACGGACGGAGGGGTTCGTGGATGGGGTATGGGGAGGGGAAGGGTTCCAGCTTTGTCTCGTTCATTTCTCGTGTTTACCTTTCTCCTATGCAAAAGAGCGGTTTGGTAAGCCGGGGTTGGGCGGCGCGACGCGCGGCGGTGACACTCTCGATGCCAACATCACATCACTTTAGATCCCCAGTTGCCGCGTTCCCAAGATGGCGTTGAGTTTTAATCAGGCACTCGAAACAATTAAAACAAGCAGTAACTCCAGCGTACTGCCGCTGGAGAGCAGCTCTGGGCCGCTCATATCCAAGACATATGTTCAGCTCGCTGTGCGAGCTGTCACGCCTAGCCGGGGAGTCACGCCCTGCCGGGGAGTGCCCTCGCTTCGCGATGAACTTGCGACTCGTTCCGCGAGCCGCCCCTCATAGCTTTTAACTTTTAAAAGAACGAATTTACTTTTTTTAACAAAGTCTGGTGAATAGTGGCGAATATGTTATCTTTCTCCTCATCAACAATCAGCAGACTTAGCATTTTAGGCCACGGCCGCCACCTCGGATTTTGAAATGTTGAAAATCTGACGAAAAATTCGAGTTTCCCGTTGAAAAATACATCCGGATCCAGTGTTTCACGAAAATCGAGTGAACATGACCCGACTTAGCATTTTAGGCATTAATATACAACAGCGCCGCTGGGGACGAATCCGTCCATGAAGTAGTACGACTAGGAGGCTTCATTCACGGCATTGTTCCAAAAAAGCGCGAAAACTTGTCGTTTTGAAAATTTTGATTATAAACGTTAAGTACATTTTTTTCAATACGAGATTAAATCACAGACCAGTTTTGAATTATCGACAGTATCACCGTGATTCCAAAAATACACTACACAACATATCATTCGCTCACAAGAAATAACAATGAATTAAAATAAAATCATGGCAATCATGGCAAGGTCCACAGCCGAAAATGGCGACGATTCCCATCTACCAACGCGCGCTCTAACCAATGGTAGA